ATTGCCAATCTAGAAAATATCGACAACTCCAATAAGTGTGATCAATTTCATCACACTTCCAGTGGCGGACATCACAGCAATAACTATGTTGTCGCCCTTGTCCTTGAACTCGGGCACTAGCAATATCAATTTTTATTAGAATAAGACCATCTCCCACAAAAAGTGGAGCTGAAGGATGTGCAATGAAAAGTGGAAGAGATGACATCTCATGACGTTATACTAAGCAAAGAGCATCGTCAAGAGTTGGTAAAGCAAGTGCATGCATAAATCTTACAAGATATTGACAAAGTGTTAGCCACAACATTCTTAATTTGATTTGCTCTAACATATTTGGCTCTGCATGAAGCAAGAGGCTTTAGAAACGAATGCTAAATTGCACCATTGACTTAAATGGCCTTGATAAAGATAATGCAATTCTTGGAAGGTATTATCACAATTGTTTATATATCTAAATGCACATTTGAAGACGTTTAGGAGAATGCTTCAATTTGCATAGATAGTTGCGCTGAAACCATTATACCACTGTAGCACCGTCTTTTGGGAAACTCATGCAAATGTCAAGCATCATCCTAGAAATGATATGTGGTAATTATTATAAAGTGATCAAACTAATAGTACATATCATCTTCATGATTCTTATGGAAAAACTTTGGTCAGATGCAAAGATTGGCACTAAGAGTAGGAGGAGATATACCACGTGCTATGAATGCTACCATCAATTAAATTTGATTGTTCAATTCCAAATATATAGCATGGAACAATTGCACCAACTACTACTCAAAAGTCAAAAAAGAGGAGGCTACTACTTTGCCATGAGAATGAATGAAAAGGAAAGAGCAAAAAATAAGAAATTGAAAAAGTTATAAAATAAGGGAAATTTAGATGATGCAAAAGTTAGATCTAAACTAAAATCCCAAAGCTGAATTATTTTTTGTGATATGTTTTATTTGATGTATCTCAGTGATTGCTTCTTCATCAATATTTAGTATAATATCATATTTAAATTTTTATTTATACTTTAATTTTCTTTTGAAAAAATTGAATTCAATATCAATTAATTTATGAATTTAAGATATAATTCTTTAAAAATCAGAAAATAAAACACAATAAGAAAAATATATATAGTTAATTAAGTCTTACCTTTGACTTCTATAATAGCAAATTTTATACCATTTGTTTTTTGTATTATAAGTTATTTCTTCCAAAATAGGTAGTTAAACTAGAATTTAATACATGTATATTTAAGTTTTATATGAATGAAATTTATGCATAGATTAGATATAAGGCAAATGGGAAAACAACAATATCAATAGTGATAACTATGGGATTGAAAAATTATTTATTCTTACCACAAAGTGATAGAGAATAAAATTAATAAAATGTGATATGGTAAAAGCTTCATGTTTTTTATCTATTTTTTAAAAAAATTAAAAAACTTAAGTTTTAATAGAAAATGATAAAGTTATATGAATATAAAATAATAATTATCAATAACTTTAAAGGTATCAGGGTAATTAAAAATATTTTATCATTTTCTCTAATAAATTCCTAGGCAGATGAGATGTTGATGGATATTGAAAACAAATAGAGAATAAATTATATAACATATGTACTATGCTATAAGAAAGGATAATCATTTTGTTCCTTAACTACTCAAAACTATATGTAAAAGAGTATAACAAATCATTAGTTAAACATAAAAATACAACTAAAGGATATTTCTCCTCAATGTGTTTTCATTCAGAAGGGATTATCTTTAGAGAATTATAAATCTCTATTTTTAAATTTAACATGTTTATAAAGAAATGCAGTCATAACAGAATATAAGGTTTATGAGAATAAGTATAAATGGTGTGAAATGCTTAAAAAATGTGCTATAAAAAGATTGTCAAGGTTTAGGGTGTATGATATCACTCACAAATACATAATTACTCTATACAAACAAAATAAAATATAAGCTTGAAACTCAAGTGGTTAATTGATTGTAGCACACTCTACATTAGCTATTTGTACTGCAAGTAGATGGTGGATATTTTTGTTTGTAAATGCTCTACAAAATAAAGGGTATACATATAGTATACTTTGTTCATATGTATATTATGTTTTAAGTAGTCATTAATAAATGAAAATTAAACCTTGCTATTTACTCAGATACTATATATAACACACTGTATCTTTCTCCCTTTAAACCAATTGAAAAGAGGCAATTGCTTAATAAAAAAGCCAATTGTGCTATTGAATGACACCAAGGCTTGGGCTGCTTTTACATTAGCATGGGTGATAAAACTTGCAGCAAGAGCAACAATACAGACTATATTGCAAGTTGGTTTAGGAGGAGCTTAGAGCTCACAAGAAGTTATAATCTTTTTAACAAGGCAAATGAGATCCTTAGGGTTATAGTTATCTCAACTCAAAATCCAACTAGCACATTTGTATGGATAGTGACATGATTGACAATTTAAATTGCCTTCCTTCGGATACTCAGCCATTGGATGCTCCTCAAGGAACATCTTCTGAGTCACCTCAATAATAATAGAAAATCCCTGCAATTACATCAACCATTTTGAGTAAAATGGAAGTTGATATTCTTTCTAAGTTGCCAAAGAATGAGTGGATGATACCATTTGTGAGTTGCTCGATACAAAGGATAAGACAGGCTAGATAAGATCCTTCCTCTCAATGTTTGTTAGATTTTTTTTATAAGAGTTTAAATCTACTCAAAGCAAAAACAACATGCTTTAACTGAAAGTTTAATCCTTGCTAATGTGTCAAAAAATCTGATGTAAAATCAAAATTTATATAGTGCAAAAAATCACATATATAGTGCTAACTTTTATTTTGCCATGCATATGTGGCGGGCACTAATGGATGCCCATGCATAAAAAAAGGTTATATTCAAAATATTATTTTATGAGTAACAACAATTTAAGCACACAAATGTTTCTTTTTATATATTTTACAAGTTTGCACAATTTTTTACCAGAACTCCCACCTATCCCTTTTGGGAGTTGTACCTCCTCATAACAAAAATATAGACTTTTTATAAATAGAAAAGGGCCAAAATATCAATAAAATGTAAAATAAACCATTTAATTGCTTTTTCATCTAGCTTATGCATCTATTTACTCAAGAGAATTAAGATTGCCAACTTCTTACTATTGTGACCAAATAGAAAGTTATAGACAAAGCTATTGTTATTTTAGAGGGTGAGAATGACATTGATAAAAAAAATTTATAAATTCTAACTCAAATAAATTAGCTTTAATCTATTCCTTCATAAATTGTTTTTGTCACACCTTAGTGAGTTTAAATAGTTAAAATTCAAACTTAAAATAATTATTTAAACCATTATATCCATATAGAGATTATACACACACACACACACACACATATATATATATATATATATATATATATATATATATATATATATATATATATATATATATATAGACAAGGAGGAATTTATTTTATTTATCAGAAAATCTAAATATTTATATATATATAATGAGTAATGTTCAAAACCTCCTCAAGAACCCTAAATTTTCACTGTGTCAGGGTTTTAGGGTTCTTTGGATCGGGAAGCTAATTCCATTATACTAAAACTCAGAAATCAAAGTATAAATTAAACAAGTACTTCTAACCATTATTTTGATAAATCATTCTAAATAGTTAGTTCTTTATTCTTTGCAGGCCAATTTTTTCTTAGTTCTTTGCAAGCCAATCTGGCATTCCTGAGAATTCATATGTGGCTACTTCTCAGAGTGACTGGCTGATTGATGGGTGGTGGAAACTCCAACTTTCGATACGGAACATCCACTTTAATCACTTTCTGCTGCTCTCCTCCCTGCTGCAAGCTCCACTTCGACTTCGACTTCGAGGACGAGGAGAATCGCTCGTCAAAACTAATCACTGCGGTGTCCTTGGGACACGAAAGTATCGCGCGCTTGATCACCATCTTCCTGCTGCTCCTGGAAGTATGGAAGCGGTCGCGCTGGATCTGGCACAGCGTGAGCACGATATCACCCATGCACGGCCGCTTGCTTTCCCGCCTCACGCACCGCGCCGCCAGCACCGCCATCCGCTTGATCCCTGCTGCCTCTCCCTCCGGGATCCTCACGCGCGGGTCGCAGATAGCCAGAGCCCTCCCCTGCTTGATCAGCGGCAACGCCCAGTCCACCATGCGAACTGGAGACATCCTGTCGTCGATAACTTGGCGGCCGGAGATGAGCTCCAGGAGGAGCACGCCAAAACTGAAGACGTCGATCTTGGGCCCGACCTTCTCGGGCTTGTCGTAGCGCGGGTCCACGTAGCCGAGCGTTCCCGCCGGAGTACACATGATGTCCTTGGTGTCGCCTCGCAGCGCCAGGCCAAAGTCCCCCAGCCGAGCGTTCCAATTCGCGTCGATCAAAACGTTGGAGCTCTTCACGTCCCTGTGGATGATCTGCGGCGTAGAGCTGTGGAGCGCGTGGAGCGCCCTTGCGGTCTGGACTGCGATGCGGACCCGGCGCGACCAGCTGAGGCTCGAGGACGAGAGCTTGGAGTGGAGCACGTCGTGCAAGCTGCCGTTGGCCATGAACTCCACAACCAGGAGGACTTCGTCGTTGCGCTCGCAGAAGCCCAGCAAGTTGACGACGTGAGGGCACTCGATCTGGGAGAGGATAAAGCGCTCCTTGCTGGTGGAAGGATTCGCGGTGGTGCAAGTGGCCCGCTTCACCGCTGCAAGCTGGCCGTTCTTGAGGACTGCCTTGTAAACCGAGCCATAGCTTCCCCGTCCCAGCAAGTTCTCCTCGGCAAAGTTGCCAGTGGCCAGCTCCAAGTCTCTAAACTTGTAGATTGTGAGCAGCCTAACCCGGTCCTGACAGCGCCTCGGACCAAGACACCAGAGCTTGGAGAGAGCTCCCATAGCTTAGAGATAAAATGGAAACTTTAAGTAAGACCTGAAGGATCGAAGTAGCGGAAGCTCGAGAATTTCGTTGATGGAGTCGATGGCATGGCTGTTTGATGGCCGCCCTTGAGAAGCAAAGGCTAAACTGAGGGGCAGAATTAGATAGACGCGGCGAACAAAGCCTAGGAATAATCGCCAAGGATACAAACAATGACCCGGCCCTCGACGAGGAAACCGACCGCGCGAGAGAGGAGATAACGTAAAAAAAAAAAAAGTATCAAACGAACCGTTCGGAGGCTCCTCTTAGTCGACGGGCCAAATGTAAGTCCTTGGGCACTGGTATAGAAACTGTCAGCCAGTTCCAAAACAAAGAACTCTTTTCTCTCTTTCAAATGCTTACTTATGGTGACTCTCTTGCCGTGAATGGCACATAAGTTGGTGTCTTCGAAGAGATGAACAAGGTAGTCCTCGGCAGCCTGTGCAAAACAAAGCAAAGATTTCAAGCGAGAAACCACGAAAAGAAAGAACAAAGAAGAAAAGGAGCGCTCTTTCGACCTCTTGGAGAGCTATCAATCCTTCGGCAGTCCATCTGGATACCTCCGACGAGAAAACGTTCGTGATCTCTCTCACCTATCGCAAAAGCTTTGTCAGAGACTAGAGAGGCAAAAAAGAGAGGAAAAAAAAAAAAGAACTTGGAGAACTCACCACTCTTGCGAATGGCAATGGCCTGAGAAGTAGCTCATAACTCTTTTGAAAGCGTCGGATCTCCCGCAACGCCACAGTCCCGGGCTTAAACCTGCGCTTGCCGTGTGGCTTGTTCTGCTGGGCGCCGGCTCTGCTCGTCCCAGCGCCATCGCCGCCCGCTGCGCACTCCATGGATCAAACCGCACCCCAAGAATCTCAAAGAAAAGCCGCCTACCTGGTGGTCGCCCTCGCTTCCTCGGCGTCGATTTCCTCCTCTTGGCCATGGCAAAAACCCTCCTCTCGCTCCTGCGATCCCCTACCGCCGACTGATCACCGGCAGGGAGCCGAGATCACACTGCTCCTCCTCCCTTCTCTTGATCGAGCCCTGGAGCTAGGTCCATTTCCCGCCCAGCTCCAAGGGATCCAATGAGAGAATCTTTTCTCCACGACACCAGGATATTCCGCCTAAAATAGCAACCCCTGCTTTAATGCCCCTTTCTTTAAAGGGGCACAGTCGTAAAAACTCGATTTTTTTACATGCGAGCGAGAGATTTACTTGCTGGGAGGAATTCGCGGCTCCCTGGTCATCGAATCCACAACAAAGTCTATCAGGCATGGCTCGTACCTTGAGAGAAAAAAGAGAAGAGAAAAGATTGGCTCACAGTTTTTCCATCTTCTCGACGATGAGGCCCAGCTTTTCTCTATCGCCCGCCTTCTTGAACACATCGTATAACACCTGCATCGTGTCCACTGACCACTTCCATCCCGCCATCTCCATATCTTCGGAAACCTCCATCGCCATCTTGCCGTCGCCGTGCTTTGCGAAACCCCGGACGAGCAGCTCGTAAGTCGAAGCATACATCCGCCACCTTGAAACCGCCTTCATGGATCTGTAAAGGCCGCCCAGCTTCTCGGCTGCCGAGTTCTCGAAGAACGCCGAAACCACCTCGTCCAGCACCTCCGGGTCCATGAAAGCTCTGCCTTGCTTCACAACTCTCTTCATCTCGTGCTCCACCTGGTCGAATTCACCGGCGGTTAGAAACGCGTCCAGGATCACTCCGTTGAGACGAGTCGTGTAGACGGTTCTCGGAGCCTGCTCCAGGATGGCTGTTATGTCTTTGATCTTGGAGAACATCTTGTTCTTGGTGTAAACCCGGATCATACGCTGAGCAGCGATAGCACCGATTGGAAGCCCGCTCTTTTGCCGATCCGCAAAAGCCTGCTCCATCCTCTCCACCATGTTGAGCTTTTGATATCCGTGTAGCAAGATCCCGAAGGTGAAGACGTCCGGCTTGCAAGAGAGTTGCATCTCCCTGTATCTCTCGTCAACCTTCGCAAGGCTTCCCTTCTTCAAGTAGGAGAAGAGCAGCGTGTTGTAAGTGACTACGTTGGGAGTGAGCCCGGCTTTCCTCAGTTCTTCCAGCCATTTTTCCATCTGGACGATGTCCGAGCTTCTGCCGTATGCCGCTAGAATCGTGTTGTAAGTGGAGACGTTGGGTGGGCACTCGGCCCACTTCATGTTCTCGAGCATCTTTTCGGCCGCTTCAATCTCTCCACTCCGGCAGAAGACGCTTACCAGAGCATTGTACGTCGGCGTGGACATCTTGATTCCTTTGATCTTCATCTCGGAGACCCAAGCGTGAGCGAGCTGCGGCATTCCAATGCTTCCGGCGTACGCGATCATGTTTGAGTATATCTGAGGCTTGCTAGCATCAGGGAACTCTTGCCTGATCCAGTCGAAAACCTGACAAGGGAATGCAGGAGTTCGAAAGAAATCCCAGGAGCAAAAGTTCTAAGAACACAAAGGACGAAGAAAAGAAAAACTATCAAGGAATGCGTACCGGAACGCGAGCAAGAACACCTCACGAACAAAGGAAAACTATAACAAAAAGAACGTCTTCCTAGAAGAAATCGAAACTCCACTCACCTCGATGCACAGGAATTTGCTCCTGGCCTTCTTCTGCAGAGTCTGGATCAGCGGCTTCCAGAAATTGCAGTTGCGCATCAGACCTAGCTTGGATCGCAGCACATCCTGCCGGCATTGCTGGCTTGGTGCCGCCTCCAATCGCCTCAGCATCAGCCTGGCTGAAATCGCCAGCCTTCCATCTTTAATCCTAGGCGTCGGCGATGATCCGACAGTAGCCACGCTGCTGCATTGGCGACGCAGCTGAAACGATTTCAAAAATTTCAGCATCCACAAGAACCCTAATAGTACGAACGAGATCTACAAATGTACGGTAGACAAAAACCCCTGCTTCAGGGTTTATGCGTTCTTATTGATGCCATAGAAATACACAGCGAGATGGAATTCCTTTCTTCTTCTTTCCGAGCTCCGGTCAAAATGTGGGCTCTAAATCGAACGAAAATCCGGCTCCAGCAGCTCTATCAATCTCCATCCATGCTTCCTTCGATTTGAGATTTCTCGATCGAAGATCATCACTTCCACTGCTCGGCGACGATGTTGGCGAGATCCACCACTCTCTGCGAGTAGCCCCACTCGTTGTCATACCACGCTACCACCTTGACCATGTCATCGCCCATCACCATGGTGAGCGACGAATCGATCGTGGACGAGACGTCCGAGCACCTAAAGTCGACCGACACCAGCGGCTCGTCGCACACCGCCAGGATCCCATTGAGCGCCTTGTCCGCGGACTCGCGGAACGCGGCGTTCACCTCCTCGGCGAAGGTTTTCTTCTCGACTTGCACCACCAGATCGACCACCGAGACGTTTGGCGTGGGTACCCGGAGCGCGATGCCGTTGAGCTTGCCTTTGAGCTTGGGGAGGACGAGCGCCACCGCCTTGGCGGCCCCCGTGGAGGTGGGGACGATGTTGAGCGCCGCGGCGCGAGCTCGGCGGAGGTCCCGGTGGCTGGCGTCGAGCAGGCGCTGGTCTCCGGTATACGAGTGTGTTGTTGTCATGGTTCCCTTGATGATCCCTGGAAGTTGCAAGAGTTTCTAGCATCGATCGAGAGAGAGCTTTTGGAGGAACTTACCGAACTTCTCATCCAGGACTTTGACGAAGGGAGCCAGGCAGTTCGTCGTGCAGGAGGCATTGCTGATGATCGGCTCCGTGGGACTGTATTGCTCGGCGTTCACTCCGACGACGTACGTTGGAATGGCACCCTTTCCAGGGGCTGTGATGAGCACCTTCTTGGCACCGGCTTTTAAGTGCTTGCCAGCGCCTTCTTGATCCACGAAGACGCCGGTGCCTTCGATCACGAGATCCACTCCAAGCTCTCTGGAAGAAGAACAATCAACTTTAGCAAAGAAAAGAATTCGAGAGAACTTTTTCCATCTTCTTTTTTCGCTCACCCCCATGGCAACTTGAGAGGATCTCGGTTGGAGACCACCTTGATGACTTTGCCATCAACCGAGATGGCGCTGTCTCCAGATACTTTCACGTCGGCGTCGAAGGTTCCAAGCATGGAATCGTATTTGAGGAGATGGGATGCTTGCTTGACACCGCCAGTGTCGTTGATGACAATCACGTCCAATGGCGAGTCCTTCCTGCCGTGCCAGCAGCGGATGAAGTTCCGGCCAATTCTTCCAAATCCATTGATCGCAACTTTGATCTTGGCCTCGGCAACAGCGCGCTTGGCTCCACCAGAGCTCGAAACCTACACTCTCATAGCATCTATAATGAAAGTAGAAAGGGGAGAAAAGCGATAGACGCGAAGATTTTCAAACCTTGCAAGTCTGGGCGGCAACTCTGGACGCCAAATCCTCGGCGCCTCTCCCGAATGTGACGGCGTTCTTGCTCTTGAGGCCGGAGAAATCCGAGAAGCCCTTGCTCTGCGCCAGTATATTTCCAATCGATCAATGCAAATGTGACAAACGGCGAGAAATCTCGTGGATTCTAGCGCTAGCACAGAGAATTCCGCGGTGATCGAGACTTACAGCAGCGGCATTGCATCGGACACACGCCGGCGTGATGGACGCTGCCGCCATGGCCGCCTCAATCCGCCACTTCTTCCTCTCCACACAACAAAGAGGCCAGCAAATAAGCCTAGAACTGTGCTATCTATCTCCTCCTCGCTAGAGCTTCGATTAGCGCTAATTCCCGCAATAATTCTACCAATTAGCGGGTAATTTCCTCGTCTGCTGGCCAGTAACAAGGAGATAAGGTGTTCCTGGCCGTTAGATCGCGTCCGACACAGGTGACACGTGGCTCGCGGTTTGTGGCTGCCGTAAAATGGAGAATCCAACGGTCTATTCTCGGACGGCTGGGATCTGTTTTTGGGTTGAACGTTGGCGCTTTGTTCTAGGGTTTATACGCACGAGCGCGGGATGGTGTCCTACACGACGCTCGCTCTGGCGCTGGGGGTGTTCATCGCTGTGAGCGGTAGTAATGGCGGAGTGTGATCCATTGTGAATGATGTTTCGATCGTTTGCAGGCCCCAAGGACATCCACAGGTACGCCAGAATGGGGGGAAGGCTTGTGGGACGAACTGTGGGGTTTGTGAAGACTACCAAGGGCGAATTCGATGGCGTGATGGGAAAATCTCAGATGAGCGAGGTAACGCACAATTGCGCAGAGCATCGAGAGAGCTTTACAAAAAATGTATTGATCGTTTTTTGATTTCCTAGGTTCACAAAGAGTTGAAAGAGGCAATGGCTCAGCTTAATGCTATACGGTATGAGATTCGAAGTGGTCTTTCCTTCACTGGCTCGCCTCCGGTACGAGAAGTGTATCCTGGTTTGTAGTAGAATTATCTTTTCTCACTGAAACTAATATGTGTTTTCTTGATCTAGAGGAGTCTGCTACTGCTAGTCATTCTACTACGACCTCCACTGTGACCTCTCAAACCGTGACCACCACAACAACAGCCACAGCATCTTCCCAAGGTACTGGATTTTTTCAGCATAAAGTTATTGAGTTTCTATTTTCCAGATGCTTCCTCACATCAAGGCTTCGATGTCGCTGCTCAGAATTTGGCCTCGGCGACAGCATCACAAGTCACAGCCACGACTTCTGCAAGCTCAGATCACCATGGTCTACTCTCGAGCCAAATGGTAAATTGCAATTTTGGATGAGCTTGATGTTTAAGTCATTTCTTTTTCAATTGCAGGAACAGGTAAGCTTTTTTCTCTCTAGTCACGGGCAGGCTTAGTGGCTGAAGTTTCTTTCAGCTTCGTAAGCAATTCTACGATCAGGAGATGCAGCAGAACAGTAAGCCAGGAGTCGATTTCGTCAAGATGGAAGTAAACCATTCAATCGCTGCCAGACGACCGCAAAGTGCTCCAGACAAGGAAGTCGATGTTATACCAGTCTCGGCAGCGATAGCAAAGCTGATCCCAGAAAGAACAGGTAAACCAGCTACAAAGAAATCCATGCTTGATGCTGATTCTTTCTACATCCAGGTCCAACGACTGGATCGGACATAATGCTGGAAGCCATCGAAGAAATGAAGGTGGCTTCTCATGCTCTTGTTGTCATGAAGCAGTACGCCGTGAATCTTAGTCAGCAGCAACCAGAGCAAGATCAGCATCAGCAGGACCAGCAGCAACAGTAGCAGTCAAAAGTTCGTTTTGTTCTCTCCCCCATTTTCCTCAAAAAGCAGAGGATCTTTCGGAGCCCTAAAAAGCATGGAGAATGCCGTGAAGGACTATGCGGCAGGACTGGCGGCTGGATTGGCGACTGTGACCGTCGGGCATCCATTCGACACTGTCAAGGTTTGTTTTTTTTCTGATCCAAGGGGTGGCATTAATGTTTTTGTCCAGGTGAACTTACAAGCCCGAAGCCCAGTAGCGCATGCTAGCGCCATTCGCTGTGCAGGATGGATTCTCAATCACGAAGGGGTAAGAGTGTCCACTTGGGTTTGTTCTTCTAACTTGATCCGCTTTGTGGATTTTCCAGGTAAGAGGATTGTACAAAGGTGCTACATCTTCTTTTGCCGGCATGGCTGTTGAAGGCTCGCTGCTGTTCGGCATTTATTCACAGACAAAAGCAAGATTGCAGGTACTACTATCTGCGCGATGTTTTAGTTTTTCTCTCTCAATGATTTTTTCTCTTGGTGCTTTGCTTAGGAAGGGAGGAGAGGCAGCAGCAAGAACACCCAATCTTTCTACTGTGCTGCCCTCCGCAGCATTCGGTGGAGGAATTATCAGTTTGATACTCTGTCCTACGGAACTAGTTAAGGTGTGGTTTCATTGTCTCTTAAAATCCTTTCACCTAGTGCTTGAATTTTCCTGTTCCAGTGTAGGCTCCAGGTTCAAGAGAAGGGTTCTTCGAGCAAAGAGCTGCGAAGATACTCCGGTCCATTGGATTGTGCAAAAAAAACTATTCACGCTGGAGGGGTAAGCAATAAGCTGCTCAAGAAAACTTGATGGTCTTTCCTCAGGTTCCAGGATTGTTTCGAGGACTGTCAGCTACATTTTTCAGGGAATCTGTCGGAAATATGTGCTTTTTTGCAACATATGAGACGAGTCGGTCGTTCATGCTGTCGCACCTTTCAAAGGAGACAAGTTTATCTTCCCGGCTACAAGCAAGCTCATTCTCCCAGACACTCTTCGAGGCTGTCGTTGGAATCGTTAGCGGGGGAGTATCTGGAATGGCGGTGCAATTCTTTTTCTTATTTCCACTTTCGTAAAGAACTTAAAAGAGTTCTTTGTGCAGTTTTGGGTAGCAGTTCTACCATTTGACGTAGCCAAGACACGGATACAAACGGCACTCGACTTGAGCGAGTCGAGGAGCTTGCTGTTCAACTTGAGAAAGGTTTGTTTTAGTTTGAGCTCGATTCAAAATATCATCGTATCTTACAAACACTTGCAGATCCGGAGAGAGCTTGGCTTCCGAGGTCTTTACACCGGCTTGGGCCCGACTTTGGTGCGAGCTTTCCCAGCTAACGCGGCTGCTATAGTCACTTGGGAACTTACGGCCAAGCTGCTGGGCTCTAGGCAGCTACACACTCTGGAGAGCTCGCTCGTTTAATGTATTGCAACCAAATTTTTTTTAAAAATTTACCACAGAGAACTCGCATCATTTCCTGCATTGTTGTCAAACATTCCACAATAAAGACAAGAAGCTCACAAAATCAGGGGCTGCTGATTGTGAGTTAATTAATAAATTTAAATTCCAATCACATGCCTTGTTAGAGTTTTATACTTAATTTATAGTTACTAAGAAAACCATTGAAGAAGTAACTTCTGAGTTCTGTTGTGTGGGAGGTGGCTAAGATTGAAATTTAGCTCAAATTCAACAGTGTGGGAGAAACTCAATCTAATATAGAACTTGTGCTAATTGATAAGTATTTATGACTTTCCTTCAAGGTGAGAGATTGTTTTGGCAGAGGCATGGCACTAATTCTGATAGTAGGGAATAGCATTAGCTATGATGTGTGAATAGACTGAAATGAGGTAAAAAAATATTGTTAATCAAGCTATAAAAGCCTAGATATCAGCTACAATAATCTAGTTTTATCTTATTCTTGTGTTATTTAGTTTAGATTTGTGATCTTCCGATTATAATTATTTCTCTCCTCTCATTTTGCATAACTATGGCTCATTTTTCATGGCTTGGAAGAGTATTTTGATCACAAAGTGCCCTAATGTAAGCATGGTGCTTCTTACTTTTCATAGTTTGTTTGTATTATAGTACCTTAATTTAGGTAGCAATTAATTAGCACAAAAGAGAGTGTGATTAATTGAAGGGCAAAGCATTTTATTAGATGCTTGGGTGTCAGGCACAGGAGCCTTTTCTCAATTTAGCATAAAAACTTCTTGATATATTGCAAAACCAGTTGCAAAATATTTTCTATTACCAAGTGTCCCAAGTACATAGCAAATGCAACCCTAGCCTATGGCATCCAAAAGGCTTAAAATCTAACTAATGCACTGAAAAATGTCACCTTAACCCAAAATTGACGTGTTAAAAAGTTTAACCTGAAGTTGAAATTTATGCAATGTAATATATACAGCATTGACCTAGACTTTGCCATGCATATGTGGCAAGCACTAATACATGACCATGCATAAAAATAAATAATGTTCAAAATATTATTCTATATGTTATATATATGTATTACAACAATTTAAGCATACATCTGTTTTTTTTCATGATCAAAATACTTCCCCTCTTGGGAGTTTTACAAATTTCTTGTTATAATATCATTACTTTTAAAGCTTTTTTTAAAAGTGTTTTAGTAGAAATAAAACTCTCAAATTTAGCTATAGAAATTATCCTTTTAAAAATTGAGTGCATTTGATAAAAATAATGAACTTGAAGTGAAAATATTATTCAGCTTTAAACAATACTTGATTACTGTTCAATCTAGGAATATTTATGATGCAAACCAAAATGCTGGTAAACTTCCCTTTTTTTTTCTAATGAAATATTTTTACACCTAAATAGTACTCTTCTCTAACTCGAAGAAAGTAAATATGGAACTCATTCTCAATTGTGTTCTTGCTGGATTACTCTTGTTTCTCTGGTTCTGCTGTGGCTTCTTCGTCTATCACCTGTGGAGGCCTAGAGTCTCACCAAGATCATGTCCGCCCAAGGAATCACTGGGCCTGAGATGTGCTTTCAAGGATGATGTGGCATATTTTGCCACGCAAGCATACAGCTAGCGCCTCAGTCACAGGAGATGGCGGCGCCATATAGGTAGCGGCCAAGGGGAGAGCGCAGTGTTCTTAGCGGCAGTGGAGATGGAGGCATGGTTCTGGCTTGATGATCGTCTATGGCGTCTTCATCCTGCCTTGTTTTCATTTTTTCCTTCTCTTTCCACGATTGAGCGATTCTTCTTTCTTTCCTCTATCAGCACAGCGGCGAGCTCGCGATTGGAATGGGAGAGGGGGTAATCGCTGTGGATCCCAGTGAGCTACCTACAAGCTCCAGGTAAGAGATTCTTCCCATGTGTAGAGAATGTTCTCTTTGTTCTTTAGTCTTTTTTATTTGTGTTCTTCGTGCTTGTCGACCTGCTGCATGTACTCGTTGTGCGGACCACACACGAACAGGAGGTTCTTCGTCACGTATGTGTACACTGTCTTTGGCAAAGAAGTTCTCGATCTCATGGAGAAGGTGACACACTTTCCTTGGTTTCGATACGTTCTTGCATTTTCTTTGGTATAGACACAAACTGGTCCTGGATATCATCCCTTGGGTGAAGATCAGGCTCACCATGCACTCGATTCCTCTAGCCGGATGATCCAACTTATCTAAAACGAACTCCAGACTTTCCAGTTCGAGGTAAGGAAGAACACGAGCTTGATCTAACTCTGATCTTTCTTTGTGTCTGGCAGCTTCTTGAAAGACCACTTCCTTATGCCATAGCTCTCGTCACACTCGAAGAATTAGCGTCTGGTGCTCACAACCAGTCAGTGCTAACTCTCAAGTTTATCATAGCGGATCCTGACAGACAGGTTCTGAGTGCTTTGTTTTCTCAGTTTGACAACAAGCTTCCAACGATCGGCTTCCAAGCTACGAGGTCATCTTCCAACGATCGGCTTCCACGTCTATCTGTCTCATCGAGCAGGGGGTGGCAAGATGAACTACCCAGCCAAGAGGTCTATATTATAAACTCTTTTTCCAGGCCGGAAAACCATGATGCTTGATGTCATGAGAACTCCTGCAGGTAAGAAAGAGCTCGATTTTATTGTCTTTTCAGATTGCCTTGTGGTGAATGCTGTACTATGGTGTCATCATGTGCTAGAACCAAGGAAGAAAGTCACATCTAGATCCTTAATATCATCCAAGGCGAAGTGGATCCGGTTTGCGTATATTGTTTGTATTTTCTTGATGTTTGTTTTTTAAAAATACGTGCACTCTCGAGGAAGTCACCTTACTTTCAAACCGCGCATAGGGCGAGCTGTGAAAGCGCTAGAAAACCATTTTCTGATGTATTGTATCGTATTGTTTGTGTGTAAGGTGAGCGGGGCTAAGCCACACAAGCATTCTCCATCTGTTCAGCAAGTGTATCAGTCAGTACGAGAAACTCAGGAAGAAGCAGGCTTTCTTGGACAATTACCGCAAGTTTCCAATGTTTGCCGTAAGCTCTAGATCCAGTTTCATCCTCGTTTCTCAAGCCTTGCTCTTTCCAGGACAATACTTAACCAAGTTTGATGAGTCAAGAGAAATCGTACAGAGCCCAATGGTGGACGAATACAAAGCATGCAAATCCCCTGTTACATCAAGTTGGGAATCCAGGTACGCTAAACTTTCTCCAACAAGCTTCGCAGAATTGCCGCAAGAGCAGCAGTCATGTTTATACCCTCTCTGACTTTGCTGTGCAGTTCAGTTTTGATACGATTTCCAGGTATGAGTTTTTAAGTTCTTTCATCCCTCACATATGAAGCCGTCAGAGCATTGTGTTTGTGTTCAGGTTTCAACGATGCCTGAAGAGATGTACAAGGTAACTCATGCCTTGGACCATTACGTTTCCAATATTCTGCGCAGGGGCATGGAGTCCGAAAGGAGCTTGCACTCATGTTTGAGGATTTAAAGCCAGGATTCGTTTGTTTTCCAGGTGACAAAATCTTTTAAAGTTAAAGCATGGCTCTTTCCAAGTTATGTTGAAGGTGGAAGCTTGGGAATTTTTGCATCGAAGGTAAGCTTTCCAATTTTTTCTTCCAGGTGAGTATCAAACTTGCTTCTCCGGATTGCCATCCTGAAATCTGGGCCGTCCATTGGACAGTTTAGACTTATTATAAACAATCTGAGCCGCCCACTGTATAAAATCTGGACCGTTGTATTAATTAAAAAAGCTGTCGATCTAAAATGATCTGAACCGTCCTATATTTAACTAATAATGTAAAGTGGGATTTTATGACTGGATTTGACGAAAAGCCATGGCGTTTCCTGCCGGTCAACGCTCTTGCTGTTGATGGAATAAATGGTTAGAGGTCAGTCAATGGCAAGTCAAAGCTCTCGTTTACTTGAAGTAAAATGAGTATGTGGAACTGGGATTATATGTGTGATTTTGAGTAAAAGTTTTCCATGTGTGTGCTCTCTTCAGGAAATGTGGTAAATTTTGATGATCTTAGGACAATTTATATAAATTGTGGCAGGAGCTGTATAAAATGCACTGGTGGCTTGTGGAGTCTCAATAGGATCTTGCGGAAATGAATCTCACAAGGAAGGTTCTCATCAAAGGCTTGGAGATTTTCGGGAAATCCCCTGTTTTGGCGAGGATGGCCAATGGCATTTTAGCAGTGGAGCAAAGGTGCATTGTGGTGCCTGTGTTTCACGCTGACAAGATCAAGGTCTATAAACACTACAATCATCATTGATATCTCCGGATAACTATCTCAATTGTAACAGGGAATGGTGGTACAAGAGCACGCAAAGCTTCCTGGAGAATTGGGAGATACTGGTTCAAAATGGCAAAGCTGGAGAAGAAACTCACGATGTTTTTCCTGAGTTTGTGGATCACATAGCATGCATCATCAATTTTGGGCCAGTTCCAGCACCTCCATAACCATTGTCAAGCTCTTGTGTCTCTTGCTTGCTTTGCAATGGCAGCAAGTGAGATATGTGTGGATATTTTCATTCATCAGGTAAAGTTAACGTTTACAAGATTCTTTCATACTCCATCTTTCTTCCTCTGAATCGTGAGAGATGGAGAACCAAGAGAGAAATCCATCACTTGCTCCTGGGGTGGTCACTCTTACAATTTATCAATGTCCATGCACGATTTAGACTCATGTGTTTTAGGGTGTGAAAAAAAGAAATATAGAGGATTGGTAAGGATAAGCATGTATAAGGAGGGAGTTGGAGTTGAGATCCATAGAGTAGTAAGAGTGTTTTCAAGTATGATTTTTATGAGGGTGAAACTATATAAATCATAATGTCCCAACAAGGAAATGAAAAATAGAGATAAGCAAAGTAATTATCAAATATTTAATTGTGGACATAGAACCTTTAAAGGATTTGCATAGAATTTTTATAAGATTGATTTTAAGATTTGTGAGTACATGGAATATGAAAACGGAATACAGAAATGTCCATATTAATTAACCCAAAACTTTAATACATATATAAGAGTGAGTGGTTCAAATTGAAACCAATTTAATGACTATCAAAACTTTGTAAATTTATAAGGTTTAGCATAACATTCAACAAGTTAATCCTTTAAAAATTATGCATATGCAATGGGTAAAATGTTTTGTACAGGAGGATCATAAATGGTTAGCCCCACATACAAATCTGTTAATGCTTCCTCTTGATGTTCCTTTAATGTCAACTAAAAAACCCTGACTTCCTTCTAAGAGGAGGACTTGTCTTTTCTATTGAGCAAGGAACCCTTTAAAGAAATTATATACTGTAAGATTGAGAAAATATATTAATATCAAATTATCCACTTTGTATTTTGCATGTGGATGATAATGGGAGTTGTAACATTGTTGTTGTTCCATTTGTATGCAGCTCAAGTGTTCAGTAAATTTTGCTTGATTTAGTGAAAGAATGCTCATCAAATACTAATCTGCATTAGTAATTTGTGAAAGTCACAAAGGTAAACTTAACTTTGTTAGTAATATTAGATTATGACCATATAAAAATTTATATGGTGAAACATAAACAAAACTCTATACCCCTATAACATATGCATACCCAAGAGATGACAAATAATAATCCCAATCCAAATGCTGAAAATTCACATACTTCATGATCAAACAAACCATTCTACTAAACCATCTATTTATAATAAACATTTGTGAAAATGTGGCATATCCTCAACTGAGATGTTAAAACATGAAATGCCTCAATCATAAATGCAAAACCATTATTCGAGAGAATTTGCTCTAAACAAGAATGCTAAAACACCACTCGATTGAAAAAGAAGTATCAAACAACAATTGCAAATGCACTGGCAAGAGCATTAACTTCTACATAATGAATCAAATAGTCAAAAATGATAATGACATACTCATTATTAATAGTTGACCGTGGAAAAAGTATTATCAAATCAAATATCACCAACTCAAATGAATGAGAAATTGCAATTAATTTCAATTGTCCTTTTACTGCATGAGAAAGAGTATTACAAGTTTGGCACCAAATGCAGTTATGCACATATTAAATAACATTACATTACATCTCTGATTAATTAAAAAATCTATGCAATTTCTTAGTCACACAACAATATCCCATATGCCTACCTAGAATAAGAAAATCATAATAAGTATGGAAAAAGTATGAAATAAATATTAAAGGCACCACCAACCGTAAATAATTATCAGGATCAAAATAAAAAAGGTCAAAATGATATTGAAAATGTAAATACTGAAATGGCATATCATTAACAAATGATGCAAAATTTTTAAACCCATCAGATTCATAATTTAACATTTTAAGCCTCATTAACCTCATCAATAAAAGGTATATCTTGTTCTGCAATTTGTGAATACTAAACATTAAATATAACAATTACCAATGGCACAGAATCCTTATCTAGAAAATCCACAATTGCTAAAACAATAGACTTATCAAAAACAAAAAAAAAAGAGTGAAAAATAAACATTCCAATCAATGATGAATCATGTCTTCAAAAGTTTTCTTTTCTAATGACATCCCTGTGTATAGTAGGAATTTGGCTTAACACCTAGAACATTTAGAGATGGCATTCAAACCATTGGAGGAATTCTCACTCGTTGCCAAGTTCTCCAAGTGCATTTTTTTGCACCATGAAGTCAAGTATCTGGCAAAGATAATCTCCAATTGAGATTCCAAGTTCTTGAGCAGGTTCTGGACCAAACTGAGCTTCATCTCTGCATACCACCCATAGACAGACAGCAGGATGGAGAGGTGAAACCAAACAATGGCTTTCGGGGAGCTTGGTGAAATGGCTACTTTTTGCTGAGTTCGCTTACAATTCTGCATCACTCGGGATGTCATCATTCCAGGCTTTATATGGTTGGCAAATTTCACTGCCTTGGACAGTTATGGACGGTTGGATGTTGAGGAACATCTATGGGGTTACAGATTGACCAAGCAACGGTTGGAAGCAGCACGGGCCACTATGCGGTTTTATGTGGACAGGGAATTTCAAGTGGGATACTGGGTTTACGTTAAATTCCGGCCTCGATACACACTGGGATGGAAGGCCCGAGCTAGATCCAAGCTACAGGCTCGTTTCTTTGGGTCGTTTCAAGTCATCAACGAACTGGCGTACCATTTGAACTTGCCGGCAGGAACTCATCTACATGCTGTCTTCCAACCGTTATAGGATTCGGTGGAAAGGTTTGGATGACACCTATGACACCTGGGTGACAGAGGAGCAGCTTAATCAGTTGCTGGAACTGCTCACTCAAAGCGTTGATAAGTGCAGTTAAGATCCTAATCAGGGCTTAGCAGGATTAAACAGGTTTAGAGGCTGTGTGAAAGTTTTCTGTACTCCCTCCTCTCCTCTCTGCCTTCTCACTATCCGTGATCTCATTACTCATCAGCTCTTGTCCATTTCTAGAGGACTTTTGCCTTTTCTCAGTTCTTGTCTACTGTTATTTAGCCAGATTTACAACAAGAGTTCTCACACTCTGTGGGTGATGCCGTGAATCCAGCATAGCAGGAGAAAGGCCGAGTGGAAGTCTTGGATCTTGTGACAAAGGACGGGCTCTTGGACAACGCAAAAGAACTAGAAAAGCTAAAGCTGGTAATATGGTTTCTACAAAAGACAATAGTGTTCTCAGCTTTACACTATTGTCGTTCACGCAGGTTGAGATGATAATCATGGAAACCTTGTGACTCTATCCGCCAATAGCGATCATCCCTCGAATGGCACTCAAGGATTGCTACGTCGACCACCTCTTCATTCCAAAAGGGCTGGCAGTTAACGTGCACAATGCGGTGATACACCACAGTGCCGAGATGTGGGGAGAGGACTCGCACGAGTTTAATCCCGACCGCTTTGCAAATGGGAGCTTGGCAGCGTGCAAGCATCCCATGGCTTTCATGGCACTCTCGTTTGGAGCGCGAGCTTGCGTCGGTCGGGCTTACTCTCAAGTCCAGGCCAAGATCATTGTGGCTTCTCTGTTGCAGATTCCAGTGGAGCTTGTTGCCCGATTATCGTCACAGCCCCACAGAGTTCCCATTGTGTTGACGCTGCTTGGCGCTAAAAAAGACTAGATTTATTTGTCCTTCTCGAAATGTACTCGAACAATGCTATAATCTGTAAAGGTTGAGAAGTTCTTTCTCAACTTTCCGTGCATGGCTGCATGCAAAAAGAGGGAGAACATGCTCCACTCCTGGAATGTTCTCAGTGCTTGATTTGCCCAGCATGACCAGGCAGAGCTCTTCAAAGAAATGGCTGCATTTTCTGAAAATATTGTCAGCTTCAAGAGCACTAGTACTTAGTGGAGTAGCTGCAGGAAATTCATCTAACTTCTTGTAAATCACAAAAAGAATGAGGGACGAGTGAAATCATTAAACAATGGATTAACACAAATGAGAACCACTCTGGGGCTTGGCAAAAAGGGAGCCAAGTCAACGAGGAATCAAGACATTTTAAATAATGTTTGTTGTGAATAATAAAAGATTTTTTATGTTGACTAAAGAATATTTTGTTACAATACTGTTTTCAAATATGCTAAGAATATTCTTTGTAATACATTATAACTATATATTAAATCATGTAATTACTACAGCTATACTTTATAATATCAGATATTATTTTAACTACAATAATTTATAACTCAAATCCATACACAATCCATACATATACAAGAACTAAGTTGCTTTTCCTTAATGCATATGTTATAATGCTCTAGATGCCTCTCTAGAAACTTAGTTACAACCTTCACATGAGGTGGTATATCATCAAGAGCTTTCTTCATAATAACACGTTGAAACCATTGCACAATGTAGGGATCAAAATTTAGTCCAAAGGCATTGTAACCATTGCATCAAGTAGCAACTAAAAAAGCCCTTGTACCATTGAAAAAATCAAGAATACAACCACCCTTATGGTAAAAGTGTTGCACAACCATGTTTGCCAAAGCTTCTAACTTTTGCAAAAGAGGTTATTTGTAAAAAATATTAAACATATTTTTTTGTTTAAAAAGAAATGATTTACCAAGCCTTGCATTCAATGTCATTCATGGCAATGTTGGTTTTCATATTAGAGGAGATTCGACAAAAAGTTCAAAGCAAAGCCACTTTTTCCTCTACTACCATTCTTTTGTGGAATAATAGCATTGAAATAGCTTTGATCTATATTGCAAAATCAATTACTAATACAAGAACTTTAAACATACATGCTTCTTGCCTCTAAAACCCTAGTTTATTCGTGACTCCAATATATAATCTTCAATTAAAAAAAATGAGCTCAAGAAAACACCTCTACCATCTCAATTGTCTGTGATGTCATTTTAAAAGCTAAACACCAATTGAAAGTCCCTCAAAATTCATTTGCAAGACTAACACCAAAATATAATTGAGTTGGATCATTATCATCATATTTCTTCATTAACCCCCCTCAGCAGCTCCGATGAAGCTAAAGGGAAGTCAAGGATAACCAAGTCTAAAAAATTAATCAATAAGTGAGTATCGAAAAAAATTTAAAAAAATTTATTTGCTCGATGTGAAGGTTCACCAATAGAGGAACTCTGAGAGTGGTGATATATAAACTTCTTCAACTCCTTAAGAGTTAAATTATGCTGCTTAAAAGTCTTAGTATCTGAAGCTTTCTCATCTTCACCAATCTCAGAATCGTCATTAAAATCCTCATTAGCATATTTATTATATGTTTTGTAGCTTTTTTGAAAAATGACTTCAGCCAAGTCTTCCACAACTCTATACTAGATAACAAAGTGGCTAAGTGTTTTTGGCATTTCATCTGGATCATTAATATATGGCTTCCATCCAAGCTTGCAAGAAAGCTTTTTTCCTTTCTTCTTTGAAACTTAGACTTCTTCCACTTTAGAATTAACTAGAAAAACATGGTTAAATACAAAATAAATAAAGAAATTTTGTTGGCTTACTAGATGTAATGGATGCTTTTAGTGCTTTTTGAGTAGCACACCTTCTCCTCTTCTTTTCCGGCTGTGTCTTCACTTAGTACACTTGTCAACATAGTCAAATTCTATCAAGAATTCCTCCTTGATGGTTGCGAGTTGCTTCTTCTTGAATTAGTCTTGCGCATGTGAGTTCCACATTTCTTACTCCACCTTCAGCACCACAGCAATGCTAAGATCTAACCACCAAAGATAATTTCCCACTCATAATTTGTGACTCCAATACATTTAGACAACTTCTCATCACCATACATGTCGGTAGGTGAGGTAGGGGACAACTATGGCTCAACGATAGTTAGAATTGCTTTCCACACAGATTTGAAGTACCTGAAAAATAAAAATAAATTAAAACTTGAAGAGTACGAAGTGATGGAAGTGTTACTTATATGTAAGATGTTAGCCAACTTTCTACATTACTGAATCATTTGTCTTGTCTCCATAGTTTTCATCATCCTCCTGTGAGACACAAAATCCCTAGGCCCCAAAGTGGAGCCAGAAGGGTGCCACGTGGTAGTGGCCAAAGCAAAAGCCAAACGAGCGTAACATGTTTGGACCAAAAGTTTCGACTTGAAAGGTCAAGAGTGGGAGTGGAACTCCCAATGAAGTGCTCAAGGAACAAGTGCGAAGCAAGCGATAAGTGAGTCTCTAGAAAAGGGACACGAGATGGACCCAAGATGGAGTCCGAGATGGAGTTTGAGATGGACCCGAGATGGAGTCTGAGATGGACCCGAGATGGATCCGAGATGGACCCGAGATGGAGTCCGAGATGGAATTCGAAATGGACCCGAGATGGAACCGAGATGGAATCGAGACCGAGACCGAGACCGAGTCCGAGTCCAAAACCGGGACCAGGACCGAGTCTGAGTCCGAGTTCGAGTCCAAATCCGAGTCTGAATACTAATACAAGCTATTGGGTGAAAGCCCAAAGTGATCATCCCTCGGGGGGGGGGGGGGGGGGGGGGGG